AAATTACCTGGCCCCAGGGTCCGGTGTACCACTCCAGGCGGTTCTGGCAGGGGCCAGAGTCACACAGTGTCACTTCTGGTGGGCGTTCCCCTTCACAGCTTTCCAGTGGGAGATCAGTCACGTGATCTATAAGGCACACTGTCGTCCGGGTTCGATTGCCTCGACCACACTCTGCAGAGCACTGAGGAATATCACACACATACATACACTCTTAGTAACACCCCCCCCCCCCCCAATGTGTCCCATTCTCCTGTCACACACACACACTTCTGTATTACCCGTTGACTCCAGAGGGAGCTGAACCAGCTGCTTGCACAGGCTCCCATGTCACAGTTCTGTAGTGTGTCCGGCTTCAGGTTCATGTTGCACTCCTCATCCTCCTCCTCATCACCCTGGTTGCTCACACACACCACCTCCCTGCTGCGCTGGCCCACCCCACATGGCACTGAACACTGGGGGTGAGAGAAGGTGGCAGTGAGGGGTGGGGGGACCAGAAAGGTCAACATTTTTTTGTCTTATGAAGATGTAATACCATATGCAATTTGTGTGTGTGTGATCTTACCGGGCTCCACTCAGATTGTATCTCCCACTGGCTGCAAATCTTTAGCTGACATGTCGACTTGGTCACCGGCCTATCAGATGTCCCACACAACTCTGGTGCCACAGTAACCGAGGTCTCAGTCCCGTTGGCGTGAGCATGAGTGACCTGGCGGCAGATGACTTGGCGTCGCTGAGTGCCGGGTCCACAACTCCTGCTGCACTCTGACCACTCCCCCACGTCCCAGCTGTCAGCCAATCACAGAGGACAAAGAAAGGCTTAGAGGATAATAAAGAGCAGCTGCCAGTCCATCACTAAAGATGTGGTTACACATTGAGACATGAGTTTAGCAATGACCTTTCTCAAGCAGAGTTCGTCCCAGCTCTATGTCTTTATTTTGACCACAGTAATTGTGTGCGGTCAGTTGACCGCAGTTGACCAGGGTCATTATAAAGCCTGTCGTTTCCCCCAAAAGGATATCATAAAAGAAACAAGCAAAATAAATCAATTTGTTTCCCTTCTTTCTATTACAACAGAAGTTTCAGTTTTGCAGTTCTCTGCTGTTGCGTTCCCAATAGAAACATATATATTTCAGACTGACAGCTGCCATGGATCACTGATGCTGTGGGCGAAATATCTGGCAGACACACAAAACCAAACGTACAGTGCACTAATGCACTAACGCCCCACTACATCTTGGCGACGGTAAGATCTAGAGGTATTTACCGCAAGACATGAAACCAAAGCCACAGCAAAGTGACTGTGACTGACTCACAGCTGGAATGTGTGTGTGAGTGATGAAGGCTTCACTCTGAGAGTCACAGCACCATGTGGTACTAATACAATGTACATGTACTGTATGTGTCACTCATTCTGCATATGTGTCATGACTAATGTATGGGACATCAGTGTGTGTGTGTGGGTCGCTCACTATGGAGGACAGGACTGGGTGTTGCAGTTTTCTTCCCGGTTTGTTGGTTCAAGGGCAGGGTCACAGAGGTCAGCAGGAACAGTCGCCTGGGAATCTTTCTCAACACACTCCCAGAGTACCTGACGCCTGCCTGGCAAGTACGCAGACACACACACACACACACACACACACACACAAAAAACACGACTAAGCAAAAGATATGGCTGTATACATATACATTTTGCCAGCCCTTTGACACAGCCCAATGGTCACAGGTCTTTTTGCACTTAAAGTAAGGGTGCCTGCAAAGGTTTTACATAAACAAATGTGCTAAATAAGCATTTGGAAAGCATACTTTTGACATGTGGTCACCCCCAAATTACATGTGTTTTCTCACCAGTGCCACAGGTTGTGCTGCACTCTCTGCGCCCACTCTTTGTCCAGGTGTAGGTGGGCCAAGGGTCAGAGTTCGAGCTGGGGTCGGGGAGAACCTGGTTAGGGTGGAGTTCCTCTTTGATGATGCCATTGCTTGTGACCTCCTCACTTGAGTGGGATGGGCCTATTGTCTGAACTACAAGATAGTGAAAGGTTGCAGGGTGGAGCCCGATTTTGACAGACAAGTCAAGGAAGAAAGGCAGTGAACTCATTTGAAATGTTGCATAGACAAAGGTAAAAGGCTGGAATGAAGCCTAAAACATAATACTGTTAAAGGCCCTGCACATCTATGGCACACTCACACAGGTGATTTCACTATGGTCAGGCACCATCTTATCTTAAAGAGCTCATAGTACCTTACTACCCCACCAGAGCACTGCGCTCCCAGAATGCAGAGTTAGTTGTGGTTCCTAGAGTCTCCAAAAGTAGACTAGGAGCCAGAACGTTCAGCTATCAAGCTCCTCTCCTGTGGAACCAGGTTCCAGTTTGGGTTCAGGAGGCAGACACCATCTCCACATTTAAGAGTAGGCTTAAGACTTTCCTCTTTGATAAAGCTTATAGTTAGGGCTGGCTCAGGTGAGTCCTGAACCATCCCTTAGTTATGCTGCTATAGGCCTAGACTGCCGGGGGATTTCCCATGATGCACTGAGCTCCTCTCTCCTCTACTTTCTCTCCCTCTGTATGCAACCTCATCCCATTATTGCATGTTACTAACACAACTTCTCCCCTTTCCGGTAGTCTTGTGCTTTCTCGTCCCTCTCCTCTCTCCTCCTATCACTTCCTGCAGGTTTTCTGGCTCTGGAGCTGTGGAGTCTGGATCTGTGGTTGCGGGTCACCTGCTGCCCCCGTGTTCCTGCTCGACACCCTCTGCTACAACAACTATTGTTACTAGTCCTATTATTATTATTGTTATTATAATCATTAACATTACGATTTTATCATTAACACTACTCTAAATATCTATAACATTTTTCATTTAGTCTATAGCAACATCACCTTTACTGTCTGTACCTCTGTGTGTGTATATTGTGTAGGCTGCCTCCCTCCCCTCCCTCTTCTTCCATCCCTCTCTTTTTCTCTCTGTTCCTCTCCTGCCCTCTCCCTCTCTCTCTCTCTCTCTTGTCGTCTCTCTCTCTCTCTCCCTCTCTCTCCTTCACCCCCAACCGGTCGAGGCAGATTGCCGCCCACCCTGAGCCATGGTTCTGCTCGAGGTTTCTGCCTCTTAAAAGGAAGTTTTTCCTTGCCTCTGTCACCTAGTGCTTACTCTTGGTGGGAACTGTTGGGCTTCTGTAAATAACATCATAGAGTATGGTCTAGACCTGCTCTTTTATGAAAAGCGCTGTGAGATAACTGTTGTTGTGATTTGGCGCTATATAAATAAAATTGAATTGAAAATTGAATTGAACTAATTGTGGCTCATATTGGACCTTAGGTCTGTGTGTGTATACAGACTGTGTTTGATTGACACCTCCATCACTTTCTTGTTTTCTTTTTTTCACCTGTTTGGGTGGGATAAATTACACCTTCTTATTAATAAGTGAGCTGTGTCCTTAATTATTCCCTATTCCTTATAATTAATAAACACTGAATAGTTTACTCTATAGTGAACAGTAAAGTGAGATTTTGGACACTAAATATCATCCGTTGGGGTCACCACTAAAAGGTGTAGTGCCACACGGCAGTCATTTTTGCATCCATCAAATGTGACCCATTGCATTATGTTTTTTTAATCAAAAAGTAGTGTATATGCCAAGGACAAAAATATTTTTTTCCACTTTTGGAATTTCTGAGGGGACTAGTTAGTGGAAACATTGCTCAACATTCAAACACTCACACGCAACACACAAGTAAATATAGTGCACTATAGAGTAACTATATCTGGGAGTGATTTCAGACACGGCCATGGGGTCTGGTGAACTACTGTAATGCTCTGATCCAGACTGCTTGGAACTGGGAAATTTCCAGTTGAAATATCTGACTTCTGACCTAAAAGCATTCCCAATGCATGGTGGTGCATGACGCCGAAAGTGAACAAAAAACATGGTTAACATGCAAATATACTTGATGTTGCCTTTTAGTTTATGGTTTACCCTTTACAATGTGCTTCCATAGGAGCTGCCATTTTCATGTGATGTCATTCAGCTGGTACTCGTGAAGTCTGGGTACATATTGTTTCTCCGAGTTCACAAGTAGGAACAAGTGACATTGTACCATGATAATTTTTCTAGTTGGAGGTCGTAAATTTCCCAGTTCCGAATTGCCTGGAATGCACAATAAATCCCAGCAAAGCTCCACCTTCCTTCAACATGAGTAGGGGTTTAATCAGCTGCAATAATGCTAAACACCTGTTTGGATGTGCTTTAAGAATAGTTAGTTCATTAGTAATAGTTTTTTTAAGATCCCTGGAAATATCAACAGACACAAATCAAGCTTTCTTTAATCTCTTTAATGAAGGTTAAATATTAGGCAATGAAATGAAATATGGCCCAAGAGACTGATTATTGTCTCAGTGTGCGGTAAGAGGTCTTTGCCAGAACTAAGTTTGGCTGCATGCCCGTATCAAATGTTATCAAAATTCTAATAAAATTTTTAAAAGGACAGTTTTTCTGAAAATTATACATATTGGCATAACCATGGCCCTGTGGTGAAATGTGGGCTGAACACACACACAATGTACTGTACATACAAACACAAGCAGAGGCATCTGGGATGTGTTATGTTCCCTGAGGGCAAACAACAATATTTAGTATGAGAAAATGGTACTGTGGTCATTTAGGGTCACTCTAAAAAAGTTGTAAGTGTGTGTGTTTGTGCGTTTGTGTGTTTAGTGTGTGCACTCACCCAGGGGCTGAATATCAGAAGGTGCGTCTGGTTCAGGAGTGGAGTGAGCCATTTGTAAAGGCACACTGTATTCATAGTATACATTGGGACCTGGTTGCTGGTAGATCAACTGTGGGGACAGAGGGAGAGAGATGAGGGGTATGTGGTATATGATGACATGTAGTAGTATTGTTTGTGTACAGTATTAATGTATTTGAATAAGAGCTGTGGGAAATATGCTGCTCCCATGGTGTGTGCCATGCAGTTTGCATCTCACATAAACATGCAGGTCCTCAATCACGGCCCGGGTGCAGTGATGGACTCCCCGTTGCGAGAGCGGATTTCATTGGGTCGTTGGTACGTCAGCCGTGTTCCTACAGCAATAAAGATCCCTGGCCTGTCAATCACCCAGTTGCCATTGATGATGGAGAGACCACTTTTGGTCTGCAGAGCTGGAAAAAAAACCAGTGTTCGTCAATCACTCCAGGGTTTGTCATTCTGAACGTATTTCTGCTGTGTGTGTGTGTGTGTGTGTGTGTGAGCGTGTGTGTGAGCGTGTGTGTGTGTGTGTGTACCCAGGTAGTTTCGGCTCTTTATCGTCTCCTGTATGCTGATGTTGCGTGCTCCTGCAGGAATCTCTGCAACCTTATGGTAGCCAACATGGAGGAAAATCCGAGAGAAATTCCCCTTCACTACCTGAAACCTCTGCCAACACACACATTCACACACTTTTACGCGCACAAAGCCACAGGTAGAAACACTGGATGTGCCCACGCAGGTATATCAGCGTACACTCTGTGCATGCTCTCTGCACCATCACAGACATGTGTTTCAACAGTATAATCATAAATTCTGCTGGATCATATTGCTGCTCTTTTTCTCCCGTTTTTTATTCGTTCATCCTGCTCTCCAACTCTCTCCCTCTCTCTCTTGCTGGAAATCCCACAGCTCGCTCAGTCCAGTCCAACACTTGGTTTGAGTTGGGCAACCTTTCTGGTCTTCCTCTGCACTCCTCCAAGTTTAGAGCTGATATTTTCTGTTCTTTTTGTGTCGTGTCTATTTTAATTGGCCCCTCTGGTTCTTTCCATTTGATGCTTTATTCACAATTTGATGTATTGATATGTTAGTTATTATTTAGCCTGAGTGACAAAGACCAGTGGTCTTGTTATAGTTGTATTTTAGCTGTAGTGTCCATAACAACAACAAACTCCAATATGCTAAAAGTTAAATACAGCTATGATTTTGGTATGTGTTGGTTTGTATGTCTTTTATGCAAATAAATAGCTAACACAACTCTTAAAAAGCTTGCATAAACTATTAAACTACAAGCTGAAACATGCATTTAGCAATATATGAATGATATTTTTCCCTGACCATGTCAATGTCTTACCTCCAGAGGGGGTGGGCTGGCTTTGGTATCCGAGGGAAGAGCATCTGAGGTTAGGTAGAGAAGACAGATGAGGTGGAGGAGAGCCGGAGCTCGAACCTGCCACAGGGAGCTGAGCTGCTGCCACAATCCAGCCATGGAGAGACTGAAGGAGGAGGACACTCACACACACACATACACACACATGTTTAACGGGGGAGTGTGTGTTTGTGAGGTTGGCTCGAGGGGTGGGAGGGGGGCGAAAAAAGACAAAGTTTGGGAGGGATGTAAGGAGAACTGTTGAGAGAGAGTGTTTGAAAATTGCAGGCAGATTTTCGTTGTTTCAAGTTGAAGTCACACCCATTTTGCACCTCAGTATGAATGTTGTGACAGCTCATGATGTGGCATGTCGTTTGTGGCACGAGGACAGGCTCCTGTAGTGTATCCTAAAGCTTATCCAAAAACAATATCTCTCCCTGTGAGTCGTCATGCAATATTGTGAGGCTTTGGACACACATCACTCTTGATCTCGCTCTGACTTCTCCACCCACTTCTTGTTTTCACTTTATAAGGCTTTTCTTGTTCTTGAGTTATTCCTTCTTTCTTTGCTTTTTTTTTCATTTCACTGACGATGGAAAAAATGAAGGATGAAAAATCTAAATTAAAAATACCACAGTAAGAATGCACTTTATTGAGGATAATAGAAAAAATATGTTAAATCTGTTGACAGCTTATCACGTTCTCTCTTGTGGCGCGCCCTGTACTGAACACATCACATGAAATGTAGTTGTGCTCTATAGTGATTCATTATCCCTTCATCAGTGATTCACACCCACAGGATGGCAATTTTATAAGTGAGTCACCACCATACCATGTCAGGGAACAATCAGATCGATTCCGAAATTACTGTAAATCCACTTGCCAGGAATAAAAACCCCACAGTGACACACTACCAAAGTCTTCATCTGAAGAGGTTATGGTAATATTTGCATGGACATAAATGAGCTTGAGAAGTACACATATGGGTACAATATATTCCCCTGGCTGAATGTTTTAGTTCTGGGCAGGGGACTGTTTTAGCCCTCTAAACACACAATGTAGGGTAGCTTGCCTGGCTTGTTTTATGTTAGGGAGTGAAGAGAGCTGTAAATATCAGACACTACTTTAAACGTCGACTGCAACTTAATGTCGCAGAGTGGGGAAATTTAGAGGGATGGAGCAGAGACAATGTGTTTTTCCTACCTGTTTTGTGCTTGTAGGAGTACATTTCAGATTCGCCTTAGATTGCCAGCTGATCGACACCACAGCTGTTCACAACATGGGTGTGAAATTGCCAGGGCTTGTGAATTTCACAACTTCTCTAGGATTGTGTGTGTGCTTGTGTAGGTGCATATGTTTGTGTGTAGTTAGACCTTGCAAAGATATATGAGTCACATGTGCGTGGATAAAATGCCCTGGTGCGATGTCCATAATGCGCTGTGAATCAGTCGGGTCCCTGTAAAAGCAGCATGAGTGAGAAAGACAAGCAGATGGAATCCTGCAAAGCTCTGTGAAACCTTATAAGGACGCTGGAGGAGAGAGGTGACGCCACTGTATCATTTCCTCTGTCTTTGTGTCTTTGTCTGCGTCTGTCTCTCTGTGTGAGTGTTTGGCACTGCGCCCTTTGACCTGAGATCCAGAAGGACATGTCTTGCAGAAAAAAACATTAGTATAGCATAAACCTACACACACATGCTGTACATCTAAACACACTAAACATGCATGCTTCCCCTTTCTCCTCTCCTCACTGGCTCACAGCCAGATCTTAGACGCCGGTCCCCTGCAGTGAATACCCGGTAGTCGCTGAGCTATGACACAGGCATTCTGGGAGCCTCCAAAAGTCTGTCAGAGAATACTGAGAATTCTGTCCAAGACAGGCGCTGCTAGGGCTACAATGTCTGTTTTCCACTGTGACAGCTTAATAGCTGCCATGTCTGATTACACACACACACACTGTGAGTCCTTGAGAACGGCTAGAAGTGGTACAGCAGCTCCTTAACACACAGATCTGCTCAAACAGTGACATGCACAAGCATATAGCCATACATGCAGACAGTACACAGACAAACCTATGCTGCATGCCACCAAGAACATCCATACAGGTTAATATTACAATATTCTTTAAAGGTGATCTTCTGCTGCTTTTGGCACGATTACATTGGGATTAAGCTAATGATGTTGAGTATGCCAGACTGCTATGATTCAGAACTGAAGCTTGTATATGTGAAACTTAACTGGCAAACCCTCAAGCAAACGCAGGCTGGCCATGGCTATGGAAGGCCTGTGCTGTCTGTGAAAACCATTGACTTAACAGAACTTGCCCTCAAAAGCATTACATCCATTTATATAGCTTTATTCATGAAAAAAACCTTTTCTCTTGAGTTGCATCTTATAAAAGGACCCAAAGGGGGAACACCCACTGGCTTACAGTATGTTACAGTACACTGAAAATATCTTATAGTGTGCTATTTTTGTGAGCTCATGCAGATTTGGAAGGAGCCCTTATAGATCGATCTGTAAAAAAAAAAAAAAAAGAAAAACTGAAAAAAGGTCTGAAACTGATTTTTTCTGTTGCTTTCCCAAGAATCAACCATGTGTGACTATTTAAAATCTGTTTTTGTCAGTGTTTCTCTGTATAGCCAGTAATTTAGTGTGTGTGTGTGTGTGTGTGTGTGTGTGTGTGTGTGTTTGTGTGTGAGTCCTAGCTGGCCAATTTCACCACAAAACACGAAAAAGAAAAGAAGAAAAATGGTAAAAGACACTGAGACTTAACAATACAGTCGACAGATATTTAGCTCAACACTGAAATCAAAGATTTCTCTTCCTTACATCCCCTGATTGTCTAAATATTTCTCTCTTCTCGATTTCCCTCTTTTTCTCATCTTCCCCTTCTCCTTTCCGTTTTCTTCTCTCCTTACATTTGCTTTACCCTTGCTTTTCCTCCAGCTGGGCGCTGTTTGATGTCCTACTGTCCCGTCCTGGCCAGCTGCCCCAGAAACCAAATGAGTGGTTCTGTAATGCCGCTGACACCTGGACATCCCCTAATCACCGGTTACTTCCCTAACGACCAACTCCTTTCCTAACGACCATGAGAAACACAGGGCGACCACCGATCAATCACTGAAATTCCTCTGCAGCTGTTTGTCAGTGCGTGCAGGATGTAATATTTTCACTTGGTAAACATGTTTTAGATTTTAGAGGCTAATGCATGACTGGGACGGCCAGTTACAAGACCTAAGAAGCTTGTTGTCTTGCTGCTTAGTGCTTCAAAGCTGACCTGTCCCTAATTGACAAGAACATGTGCAGTATGTTTCAAGTGCATTTGAAGCAGGACAGTGACCACAAGAGAATTGGTTACTGTGGCATTTACAGCGCAACAAATAAATGTGACAGTGAGAGTGGTTGTATACAGTCATTACAGATGACTGACTAGAAGAAAGGGGTCTGTTAAAAAGCATCCAGTGGTCTCTGAGCTCACCTCTCACCTTTTCCTAATTACAAGCTTGAGACGTGCAGGTGAAGGCACACACATCTTCTGACACCATAAATACACCTCACTTGGTGAGCTACTGAAACCACATACCTACGGGGTCAAGCACAACAGTTTACACACTTTACCACACAGGATGCTTTTCATCCTAAAGGTTGTATATACCTGCCCATGATTGCACATGTTTGCAGCTAACCACTACTTTTCACAAAGGTGCTGCCATCCGTGTGCAACATATCAGGCTGTGGAATTTATTTTTTTTGGTACCTCAGGACCTCAGTCAAACAACGTTGCACAGAGGGTGTACAATAAGGTTAGTTTTATTTATACTATGTGGGTATGAGTGTGAGGAGATGAATGACAAATTTAATGAAAATGTTTGACTGCCATGAGCCTCCACAACAGCTACAGTGCCAATTGGCAAAGACTCTGGAACTCTATCGTAGGGATGACCACCAATCTTCCAAATGATATTCCTCTGATTTGTCATCTTGATGATGGTGGTGGTGAGTGCAGTCTAACATGTCATTCTGCGGGTCTTCAGTGTGGTTGAGATTAATGGAATGAAAAGGCCATAGCATATGATGAGATTTTCATACTCATGAAACCATTCAGTGAGTGGAAAATGTTTCATCACAGGATAAAGGTAATCACTCAGAATATATGTGTATTGATTCATAATGTCCACTTCCTCTAATGAGATAAGTGGACCCAAACGACACCAGGAAAATGTCTCCCATAACCTTACAGAGCAACTGGACACCTTCACTGTAGGGACATTCAGGCCTATACTGCACTGTTCTCTTGATGTACACCAACCATGCACTTGCTGACCTGTCAAGAACATTAAGAAGGGGAACGCTTTAGTAGCCAAATGTTTACAGCGCAGGCCACATAACTGCAACATCCACAGTTTGATTCCAGCTTGGGACTTGCTGCATACATACCATCCTGTCTCTCGTTCCCTGGTTTCCTTTCTGCCTCTTCACTGTTGAATGTCCAATAAAGGCAACAAAAAAAATCTTTAAAAAAGAATAAGGTGAAGTATGACTCATCTGACCATATCACAGGTTTTGAACCATTAAACTCCCAAATGTGCATCTGTATCCCAGAAATTAAACCATGTTCCGTTTGATCTGTTCCTTTTGCAGTGGTTTTAAATAGCTGACTACTTCACAGATTAAGATTAGCATATAAAATATTGTAATACAGATAATAAGCTACACAACATAATAATAATAACAGTGACAGGGGTCACTATGCTGAATAATGTCTACTTTTACATTTGATACTTTATGGGAATGTCCGATAATACTTAGATTCTACTTAGGTAGAAATTTGAATGAAGGACTTATTATATTTGTTATTGAGTATATTATTGATGTGTTATTGCTAATTCATTCTATGATGCACAAATAGGGATGCTTCTGCATTTGCTACGTTTATCCCCTCATGTATCCAGGTTTTTCTCTTAGTTTGTCATTGTCTTTATGGATGTATGTTTTTATGTGTGTATACACAGTTTCCTTTTTATGAGGCACACCTGGCTAAAACTAATGCAGTCTACCTTCATAAAGGTTACAACTCATTTACAATGGGAGGTGTTTCCATTTGTTCACCCCATCTATATGGAGGGGAGAAAAAAACAACAGTAAGTATGATGCAGTACAATTCAATCACAAAGTAAACATAGTCTCCAAAA